CGACCACGGGAAGCCTTGCCCCTCCTCGCCGACCAACGGCCGTTCCTCGCTCCTACTCCTCCTCCTCCTCCTCCTCCTCCTCCTCCTCCTCCTCCTCCTCCTCCTCCTCCTCTCCTCCCCATCACCCATCATCAGCATCATCAGCAGCAACAGCAGCAGCATCATGATCAGCATCTGCATCAGCATCAGCAGCAGCAGCAGCAGCAGCTGCATCATCACCATCATCATCATCATCATCATCATCATCATCATCATCATCATCATCATCATCATCATCAGCATCAGCATCACATCAGCATCATCATCATCATCATCATCATCATCTCATCATCATCATCATCATCATCATCGTCGTCGTCGTCGTCGTCGTCGTCGTCGTCGTCGTCGTCGTCGAAGTCGGCGGCGGCGACGACGTCGTCGTCGGCGTCGTCGCCGTCGTCGTCGGCGTCGTCATCGCCGTCATCGTCATCCTCATCATCTTCATCATCATCATCAGCATCATCGTCGACATCATCATCATCAGCATCATCATCATCATCATCATCATCATCATCATCATCAGCATCATCATCATTATCATCAGCATCAGCATCAGCATCAGCATCATCAGCATTTTCCTCATCACCATCACCATCATCACCATCACCACCACCATCAACAGCATCATCATCATCATCATCATCATCATCATCATCATCATCAGCAGCAGCAGCAGCAGCAGCAGCAGCATCGTCTCCAGCCTCAACACATGGGCTCCCACTCCGTGCTCCTCATGTCAATCCTCCTCTCCCTGGGAACATCACCCTCACCGTCTGCCTCGACTGCATCCCCCTCGCCGTCCTCGCTCGGCTCCTCCCCGTCCCCCTCCTTGCGTCAGGCCCGGAGTCGCGGGCAAGAGTGAGGGGGCTCTCGGGCAGCCTCGCGGGCGCTGCGGGGCCGTGCTGAGGAGCCCGCCGCGGGCGCCGCTACCCCCCCCCCCGAGACCCTCAGCTTGCGAGTTCCCCCAGCGAGGGGGGCAACTCAGGAGGGGATAGTGTATCGGTGCACCGTTGGTGTATCCAGAGGGTTCTGGTCCTCCTCCGCTTCATCAGGACATCCTCTTCATCCTCCCCCTCATCATCCTGATACGCATCCTCATCCTGAGGACCTTCTCGTCCTCCGCGTCCGAATGCGCCCCCTCATCCTCCCAAAAACGCCAAAGAACCCGAGCAGACTGCCGTCCGAGACCTCCTGCTCCGAGTTCGCCTTCTACCTCATACTCGCCCTCCTCCTCCTCCTCCCTCCTCCTTCTTCCTCCTCCTCCTTATCATCATCAGCAGCATCATCATCAGAATCAGCATCAGCATCATCAGCATCATCAGCAGCAGCATCATCGGAAGCAGCAGCATCAGCATCAGCAGCATCATCATAACCAGCATCACCAGCATGATCAGCAGCAGCATCAACACCATCAGCATCATCATCACCAGCAACAGCATCATCAGCATCATTGTCATCAGTATCATCATCAACGTCAGCATCAGCATCATCAGCACCAGCATCGTCAGCATGATCATCACCAACATAATCAGCATCAGCATCATCATCATCATCTGCATCGTCATCAGCATCATCATCATCAGCAGCAGCATCATAGTCATCAGCAGCATTATCATCATCAGCATCATCATCATCATCAGCATCATCATCACCATCACCATCACCATATCATCAGCGGCATCGTCAGCAGCATCAACATCATCAGCCTCAGCATCAGCAGCAGCATCATCATCAGCATCAGCATTAGCCTCATCCTCATCATCAGCAGCATCGCCACCATCGGCCGCATCATTAGCATAAGTATCATCAGTGGCATCATCAGCATCCTCACCATCGTATCATCTCACCATCGTTATCAGCATCATCATCAGCATCATCTTAAGCTTCCCCCTCGTCCTCATCCAGAAAACATGGGCCTCCGGTCCGTGCTCCTCGGTTCCATCCTCCTCTGTGGCAGCATACCCTTCGCCGTGTGCCTCGACTGCATCATCGTCATCATCAGCATCACCATCACCATCACCACCATCATAATCATCATCAGCAGCAGCATCAGCACCACCATCATCATCATCAGCAGCAGCAGCAGCCGCATCACCAGCATCACCAGCATCATCAGCATCATCCTCAGCATCATCACCGTCGTCGCCATCATAGTCATAATCAGTATCAGCATCTTCAGCATCATCAGCAGCAGCAGCATCATCAGTTTCATCATCGTACTCAGACGCATAAGCATCATAATCATCATCATCAGCATCATCGCCACCACCATCATCGACCCTCCCCCTCCTGTTTCTGCTCTGCTTCTGCTTCCATCCCCTCCCCCTGGCTCAGTGAGGGAGAGGACGTAGACGACGAAGATGACGAGGACGGAGAGGGGGAGAAGTAGGGAACGTAGGAGACGAAGAAAACGACGACCGCGACGACATCCTCGACACAGACATCGACGACTCCGCGACGTCGTCGACAATGTCCTCGACGTCCTCGACGACGCCAACCTGGATGACCTGGCCGGCAACGGCGACGACGACGACGACGAAGACGACGACGACCACGACAACGACCACGACGACGACCACGACGACAACAAAGGCGAAGCCTCGATCGAGCACCTCGGCGCCTTCCCCGTCCGAGAAGAGCCCGGCCATGGCCCTGGGGCTCAGAATGCCGGGCGGCAGGTCCACCTGCGAGGGAGAGGCCCAGTGTCCTCGCCGTCCTCGCCGTCGTCGTTGTCCTCCCTCGCCACGTCGTCGCCAACGCCGTCGTCGTCTCATCCTCTCGCTCCTCCTCCTCCTCCTCCTCCTCCTCCTCTTCCTCCTCCTCTTCCTCCTCCTCCTCCTCCTTCCCCTCCTTCTCGCCGCCGTCGTCGACGGCTGTGTCCTTCTTGGAGGCCCGCTCGTAGGCGATGAGGAACAAGGGAGATCGAGGGAACGTTTGTCGTTCGGCAGTCTCCTGCACTCTTCACGGAGGGGCCTCCTGAAAGGGCCGCTCCTGGGTGACGGGGAGGGAGGAGGCTCGGAAAGGGCTTCTTCCCCGGGGCTCTCTTGCGGGCGTCGGAGGGCCCTTCTTACAGGCAGGCTCCCCGATGGGGGAAGTCGAACGAACAAACGTGTGCCTCGGGGATCTCCTGCAGGCGCCTGGGCGCAAGAGGGCGCGAAAGCCCGAGGACACCGATGCCGATCGCGCCGCTCCAGGATGCCCAAAAGGGCGAGGGCACGAGACGGGGGGCAACTACATCGTTACCTACTCCTCCTCTGAAGGGGGTGTCCTTCTTGGCGGCCCGCCTCGAGTAGGGGATCGTCTACAAAATTGATGTGCCCCAAAATTGCTGTCCTCGACGAAAATAAAAAACACGTATACGGTTCACACGCATTGATCGTAGATTCGACGAGCAAGTTGATTTTGGGGCAAATCAATTACCCCCACAATCAGTGTCTCGCCGACTCTACAACAAACGAAACGTATAATATGATCGGAGCTCTACGAGCGGTCTACGTATTTGTCGTGGACTCGACGAGCCAATCAATGTTGGGGTAAATCGACTCTATAGTCGATCCCGTACGGTGGCAACTCATGGGAGCCTCCCATACCATCGTGTCAGCTCTTGTTCATCGACGCTAATCGACGCTAAATCGACGCTGATCGGCACTATATCGACGCTAGTCGACGCTAAATCAACGCTAATCGACGCTAGCAGACGCTAGATCCGCGCCACCTCATCGACTCCCAAACGCTAATCAACGCTATTCAACGCTAAAGACGAAATTAAGAGGGCACACCAGGCTCCCATGAGTTGCTACCAAACTCTACGAACGTTGTACGCATGTCAAGTATATTCGACGAACAAATCAATTCTGGGATAAATAAATTCTGTAGTCGATCCCCTACGGTGGCATCTCTGGGAGCCTCCCATACCATCTTGTCGGCTCTTGCTACTCAACGCCAGTCGATACTAATCGACGCTAATCGACACTCAATCAGCGCTATCTGGTCGACTCCCGGACGCTAATCGACACTAAGGACGGAATTAAGAGGGTATACCAGGCTCCCGAGATTTTGCTACCGAACTCTACGAACGTTGTACGCAAGCTGCGTTAGACTCGACGAGCAAAGCATGGGGTGAATCAAATATGTAGCCGATCCCCTACTTGGTGGCAACTTATGGGAGCCTCCCATACCATCTTGCCGGCTCGTGCTGCTCCACGCTAGTCTACGCTAGCTGGCGCTGATTCGACGCCAATCGACGCCAGCTGGCACCGAACCGGCGCTATCCGATCGACCCCCAGGCGCCATGACTTGTGACCGAAGATCCCCTGCTCGACCGCTGCTGGCCATCGCTCGGACGGCCATTTCCTGTGCTTTTGGTTTCGTGCGTGGTTTTTTCGCGAAACGATCAAGGACGCTCCTCGATGGTCCTCGCCGAAGGAAAACTGCACACGTCCGAGCGATGCCAGGGCTACTGGGCTGTCGCGCGGTGGCGCGTGGGGCGCCGCAGGCAGGCCACGCGGCGGCAGGCCGCGCGAGCGGGACAGGGAGAGCGTCGGCTCGAGCACCACAGGGCTTCCTACCCTGGGCTTCGTGAGGTTCTGGAGTGGACCAAAAGTTGGGGGCCCAACCCTGGGATCTACGGGGGGGGGGGCGTCCATTCTCGATAAGGGTGCGTCCGGATGGCCCCCCTCGGGGTACTATATCCCACCAGGGTTCCCCTCCTTGTCTTAGCCACTTCATGTTGCGCTGAAATAAGGGCCCGAACTCTATACACCGACGCTTTTTCTGGCCCCGCACTGAAATGCGCACAGGAAAGCGGATCCTGCTGTATACGGATCCTGGTGTACACACTTGTTTGATGTTTCCCCCCGGAAAATCAGAAAAAATGTGCACCACACCACCCCGACGTCGTCCCCGACCCTCAAAGAGTTCTGGGATTCAAAAACAGCCCGCCACTGGTAATGTATATGCTCCAGCTTCCGATGAAAAGCGGTGGTTGGGATAAAACCATCGACTGCGAGAGCACGAACACGCACGACGGCTAGTTACACGAGCGGGGGCGCAGCAAGCAACGGACGGAGCCGTGGCAACGGGCCCCGAGTTGGGATCCGTGTGTTGGCGGCGAGCGGGGGAGGGACATGAGAAGGAGAGGGCCTTCTCAGAATAAGGAACCGAACTCCATACACCGACGCGTGTTCCGGGCCTGCTCTGAAACTTGCAAGCACTAAAGCAGGATCCTGGTGTATACGGAATCCTGGTGTACACATTTTCGTTGTTTCCCCAGAAAACGGGGAAACAAGGATACACCACACCACCCCGACGTCGTCCTCGACCCTCAAAACATCCTGGGATTGAAAAACCGCCCGCCATTGTACAGGTTTCAATCTCCGACAGAGAGCTTGGAAGTCCCTCGGCCGTGCGAGAAGTGTTCGAAGGCCGTCCCCGACGGCAAGCCCAAAACGTCTCGGAAGGCGCGAACGGCCTCTGAGAAGTGCCGCCACCTTCCGAGGAGGCCTGCTCCTCCTCGGGAGCCCCCCCCGCGCTGGCCGCCGGATGTGGGGTGGGCTTCGTGCGGGGGCGGACCCGTGGGAGAGCGGGCCGTCCGATCCCTCCCCGAGAGCTCCGCCCCCTGCGAGTGCCGCCCACCTCGTCGGTGGTGGTGGTGGTAGTACTAGGCGGTACAGTCGGCCTTGATCGGACAGGACACGCGAGAGGACACGAGACCCTTGCGAGGGCCACATGGCCGTAGGAGTACACGAAGGCACGTGTCGCGAGACACAGGACACAGGGTACCCTTGGGCCGGCAGGGTCGACCTACGAATCTGGGCCGACTGTAGCAGGAGCACTATCGGTGGCAAGAAAGTGCTCGCCCTACCGCACTTCGCGCATATTCTGGGAAGCCCGAGGAACCTATCGGAGTGTATGATGGGCCTGTTTTCCACCACCACCACTATAAGTTGGAGGGGGAGGGCGTCCTCCTCTTCCTCCTCCTCCTCGTCCTCCTCCTCCTCCTCTCCTTCCAACTTATGGTGGCGGTGGTGGTGAAAAGCAAGCCCATCAAGTGTACGGTTTCGCTACCCGACCTCCTTCGCCTCGGCCCGCCTCTTCAGTGTTGCGGCTTTGGACATGAGCTGCCGAGGCAATCCTCATGACGTGGACCCCCACAAAGGCCTGGACACCTTCCCAGGGACCAGCTGCTCCTCCCGAACCGTCTCCCTACAGGAGCCCCTGGGGCGCAAAACTCAAGTGACACACATTCCAGGATTCCCGATTCCCCATGCGTGTTCATAGTCTCTGGATGCTCGTCGTCCCCTCCAATTCCCAACTGTTCCCATGTTCTCCTGGGAATCGACGTGCATGTCTTACTGTGTCGAGTTCCCACTCGATGATTCACGGCCCCGAGTCCCGGCGAGGGCCAACCGAGGCCGAAGACAACGGAAGGCCTCCCGTCGGGACTTGTCACCACCCCGGTGGGTGGCACCTTCCCCGAAGCCACGCGCGCACGCACGACGCCGCCACTCGATGCACGACGCGCCGAGGCGTGGGTCGTCCTCACTCCTCCTCCTCGAGGTGCACGCTCGGACTCGGACTCGGACTTGGCCTGCTTCATGCACCGCGAGGGTGCTGCAGGGTGGGGCCGAAGCGCCCAACAAATGCAAATAACAGTGAAACAAATTCAGCATATAGTGAGACTACAACGGACAATAACAAAATGCGTGACGAATGCAACTATGACCTGTGTACTCGCCGGCCGGAAGAAGCAGGCAAAAACATGATGCACGAAGGCGGACAAAACAGATTGGACTCAGGCCCTCCCAGGAGATGAACAGAACGCGGCAGAAGCAGATTGGGATCGGAGAATGAGAAGAAGATCGGAATCTGGGACTTCAAAGGCACCTACTTTCAAGGATCACCGGGTGTCCTCCTCCTCCTGCTCCTCCTCCTCCTCCTCCTCTTCCTCCTTCTCCTCTTCCTCCTCCTCCTCCTCCTGCTCCTCCCCTCCTCCCCCTCATCCTCCTCCTCCTCCTCGTCCTCCTCCTCCTCCTCCTCGTCCTCCTCCTCCTCCTCCTCCTCCAGTCCTTTTCCTCATAAACAACTTCTCCCTGTCGCACCAAGATGCCAATTTTTAGGGCGGGCCAGGCGTTTCGCCTGAGACTCCCTCACCGTGTATGAACCTGAAGCTGAAACGTGGCAACAGTTTCACAGGTGGAGGGCGAGTCGTTTTCAAAATGTGGCTCTCGCCTTAGCGCAGCGCACATTAGTTAACACAACCTGCAAGAGCTTCACGGATGGAGGGCGGCTCGTTCTCAAAATGTGGCTCTCGTCTTAGCGCCACGCACATTCGTTAAAACATGTGCAAGAGTTTCACGGATTGAAGGCGGGTGGTTTTCAAAATGTAGCTCTCGCCTTAGCGCCGCGAAGACTCGGTTAACAGAATTTGCAAGAGTTTCACGGACGGAAGGCGGGTCCTTTTCAAAATGTCGCCTTAGCGCCGCACACATTTGTTTCACAAAAATGCAAGAGTTTCACGGGTTGAGGGCGGGTGGTTTTTTTTTTTATGTGGCTCTGGTCTTAGCGACGCGCACATTCGTCTTAAAAATGTGCAAGAACTTCACGATTCGAAGGCCCTCCTTTTCACACTGTCGCTCTCGCCTTAGCACAGCGAACATTCGCTTTGAACATGTGAAAGAGTGTCACGGATTCTGATCAGCGTACCAGAAACCGTGTTTGGGAATGATTCAGGATAATGAGGGTGCAACAGTGATGTTGATTCGCGGTGTTGAGAATCCCAGGAATGGCGTTCTGGGGCGATTCAGGATCGTCAAGACGCAACAGTCAGGTTGACCCGTGGCGTTGAATCCCGAGAACAATGTTTTGGCATGCTTCAGGGTCTTCAAAAGGTTGTCTTCCAACGAGGCAGTTCCCTCAGTGGACATGAACCGTTGTAGGGGCCTATGAAGAGGGCGCTTGGAGGGAGGGTTTATTCCAACAACTTTGATGACTTTTGGGTTTACACTACTCCTCCTCCTCCTCTTCCTCCTCCTCCTCCTCCTCCTCCTCCTCCTCCTCCTCCTCCTCCTCCTCCCCGCGCGGGCCCGACCCCGCGCGCGCGCGGAGGTGCCCGCCTGCCTCTGCTGCAGCAGGCGCATCATCCCCTCGTGTGTGGTCGAGGAGACCGCGGGGAGCCCCGCGAAGCCGACGGACACCTCGCCGAGCCGAGCCCTGACCTCGAGGGGCGGGGGAGAAGGGCAGCCCAGAGCGCCCGAGCGCGCGCTGATGGGGAACGGTTCGGGCTCGATGCTCAGGGCTTGGGCACATTTTCGTTGGTTCTCTGAGCATCGTTTAGGCGATCCCTATCCCGCTAACGTGGACTGGGTTAAGGGACACTCCTCTACGGTTAGCCCGCCTCGGCATGATCTCCAGCGGCTGCGCCTCGTCGAGAGCGCTCCGGGGCGTGCCCGGATCGTCCCGAGCGGCTGCCGGAGAGCCGAGCCTTGACCCAAGAACCCGGGGAATGACGAACGAGCAACACGCACCCATACCCACAGGGGGGACGGAGGGGGCTATGGGTGCGTGCTGTCGGATGGGGGTCCCCGCTCGAACGGCGAACGGGAGCCTCCCCCGCGGTCCGACAACCCGCACCCATACCTATGGACATTCCCCCTCCCCCCGATCCCCCTATGTGTATGGGTGTGTGCTGTCCGTTCGTCAGGGAAGGAGTTTCAAGCTGGGGAGAGGAGACTGCGTACGACTCGACGAGCGGGCAGCTCACGAGCGACAACGCAGGCAAGTTTTGCCTACGACGAGGCCAGGAGCAGGCCAGACGACAACAAGCATGCACACACACACACACACACACACACGCGCAGGCAAGTCTTCCTTATGGGTGCTGATGGATGCAGTCAGCGGATCTGCTAGAACGGGTTACAACACACACTCACAAATACTCAGAGACCACACGGGTCCGGCCCCGTGGACAGCTCGAACTACAGACGCAGCAGCCACATCCACAGGGCGTCCTCGTTTCCCCCTTCGCTGGTGTCTAACACCAGTTTGGCACAGAGTCTTGGTGAGACACTTCGGGGATGGACAGACCCCCCTTTAGTAAAACGTGGTTTAGTGAAAACGACCTGAGGCCCAAACCTGGCGGGCACAAGCCTCGAAAATAACGGCCACGGCGCCCTCTCGAGAACCGAAAACGGACAATTCACAAATCGACGTGTCACTGTTGGGGGTTCTGTCCACCCCCGAACAGTCTTAAACACACCTGGTTACTCAGGACCAACACTGACATTAGGAAGGCGGGGTACAGGGGGCCGCCAGGGCGACGCCCCGCAACTGCCCTGGCGAACCCCCGAGACCTCTTGGGCTTCTCGGAGGATCAGCCCCCCCTTCAAAAGCAACAAAATGACGAAACTAGATACAGTCGGGGCGTTGACCTAAGGAACCCCAAATAAGGAACGAAGCCCCTTTTTTCCATAAGTTAAACTTCGATTTCCTATCGCTGTGAAACACAAGGAACGCGGAGCCCCTCCCCAACCAAAAGGGTTCATTCTTCAGGGCCCCGACTGTATGCCGAAACTAGGTATGCGTATTTGCAATATCAAACCCACCATGTCTCAACTGCGTCACGTATGCCGCCCTGGCCTCCGTGCCCATACCTCCACGTAGCCCACTCTCGACATGCCCTCCAGCTCGTTGGCCGTGACTCGATGGCGTTCGGTGGGGAATGGTGACTTTCAATAATAAAAAAACGAGCCCTGAACGATTGGCACCGAGCCGTGAGGCGGAGCACCTCTGGACAAGCCGAGAACGCCACACGCGATGCCAAGCACAACGAAACGCCAGCCGAGGGGGAGAGAAGGGCGGAAAGAGGGGAGGAACGCGAAACGCAGCCTGGCCGGTGCTTGTGATGCGTCGCACGATGCTCCAGCAAGTGCACATCTCACACGACTCGCGCCACCTGGGGAGCACGGCCCCAGCGGCCACCTCCACACATGGCGGGCTCGAATCCAGCCCCGAACACAAAGCTGTTACCATCTCTTGGGGGCGCATGCTGTGCTTTGCCACTGGCTGCCGCCGGCGGAGGCGGCCTCCTTTAACGCGCGCGGGCTTCCGCTGCCCCTCCGCCGCCCTTCCGCCGAGGAAGCGCTGGCAACGAGGCCCTGTCCGTGGCTACCTACCAGACCACCTCAACCCAACCCGAAGAACCGAACTTCGGGTTTGGGAGGGGGGGGGTACGGGCTCCAAATGTGTCTTCTCAGTGTTCCCCCACCCCCCCACACTGGAAATGGAGGGCAAACTGAGGCCTTCGGGCTGGGTTGGGGTGGTTTGGTGGGTTGTGAGTCCGGGGCACCGCGTCACTGAAGGGGGCCTGGGACACACGAATAAATACACACAAAAAAAGGATTCCCCATATTTTTCCATATTTTCATGGGGTTCTGTCTTCCCCCCCACTTCCCATATTTTCCCATGTTTTGTTGGGAATCGGCGATGAATCGTGCCGGTGTGTTTTTGTTCCCTCCTGAGCCACCTGGGCGCGAGCACCTCGCGCGCACCGTGCCCACTCACTGGGCACTCGCACTCTTCGGGAGCGGCCAAGAGGGGGGTGTCCAAGAGGGGGGGGTGCAAATGATGACCGGCGGCACGTGCGCGGCCCAGCGGGGGGGCCAGGGACGTAACGAAATAAGAAGAGGCGCCATGAGATATGGGGAGATATCATGGCCCCCGCCATGATATCCACCCCTCCCCTAGTCATTACCCCCCTCTTTGCCGCCCCCGAACTCTCCCCCGCACCCCTCCTCCTCCTCATCCTCCTCCTCCTCCGCCCTCCCCTCCTCCTCCTCCTCCTCGTCCCCTCCTCCTCCTCCCCCTCCTCCCCCCCTCCTCCTCTTCCTCCTCCTCCTCCTCCTCCTCCTCCTCCTCCTCCTCCTCCTCCTCCTCCCCCATCCTCCCCCTCCTCCCCCTCCCCCCCTTCCCGCGGCGCGCGGCAAGCACACGCGAGGAGCAGGGCCACGCGCTGCGCCGCGCGCGCGCGTATACACGGGACCAGCCACCAATCGAAGCCAGACGCCGAGTCCGACCGAGACAGGCCTTGGGCCGGGACGCTGTCAAGGAAGGAAACACCACCAGAAGGAAGGAGGGAGGAGGAGGAGGAGGAGGAGGAGGAGGGGGGAGGAGGTTCGCCCTCCTGCGATGTTTCCTAAACGCTCAAGCCAGACCCGACAGTTGACGTTTCCTAAACGGCCTTTGGGCATTTCCTCGGCAGCCCCGCCCTGTTCGATTCCTTCCGTGGGCGCGTTCACTGGACGGCTCCGCCTGTCGGGGTGGTTCTTCTCTCGGGGAACAGAAAGTGGCAGAAACATACAAACTCGGAGGTCCGCGCGGACTTCTCGGATCCGCGCGGGGGCCCCCCAGCGGGGCCTCCGGCGCCGCCCCTGGCGCGCTCCGCGCGCCAGGGGGGGGGGTCCAGCGCGGATCCGACAAATCCGCGCGGACCTCCGTGTTCCTATGTTTATGTCACTTTTCGTTTCCCTCATGATTCGGGCGTTGGCAGAACTGGGTTTAGTGGAACCTGGTTTAGTGATTTGTGCCGGGGACGCCCCCCTGTCCCATTTCCACTAACCGGAACTGCCGTCACTCGAAAAACGCAAGGTACGGCGAACCTGGTTTAGTGAATCTGGCCAATGAAGGGCCCCAGGGCGCTACCACTCACCGGGTCCCCTTACCCGGGGTCCTGGCTATACCCGAAATGATGCACATCGGCACCCTTGACGAACCAACAACACACACCCATACCCATAGTGGGATCGGAGAGGGCTATGGGTGCGTGTTGTCGGATGGGGGTCCCCGCTCGAACGGGAGCGTTCCCCAGGGTCCGACAACCCGCACCCATACCCATAGCCAGTCCTCCTCCCAACGACCCCCCTATGGGTATGGGTGCGTGTTGTCCGTTCGTCAACCCTGCCGACGTCGGGCCGCAGCCTGGCGCTGGAATCTCGGCGCCGAGAAGCGGCTCGGGGGCCAGCCGCGAGCAGCGCCGAGCCGCATCGATCCGATCGACGTGGGCCCGGATTGGGCCCTGGGCTCGCGCCGCTCTCGGGCGACCGCGCCGGCCGCGTCGGCGCCGGCAGCCGCCGCCCACCGCCCGCCGCATCGACGACGGCAGAAGCAGCAGCCGCACATGCGTACGTGAGGAAAGAGAGCCGGCACCAGCACCAAGAAAAAGCTACCTGCTTCCTACAGTTTGGACCTGCGAGTTGGGCCAACGTGAGCCCGCCCTGGCCTTCGGCATCGCGGGGGGGGTTGTGGGGAGGGGGGAAGAGGGAAACATCGCGCAGCGCGCAGGAGGGAGGGCAGGAGACAGAAAGTGCAGACGAGAGGCGAAGTGGGCGGGCGTTCTCGGGAGAGGGGGGACCAGAGGGAAGGATGCGGCTTCCATCATGACCCAAGCCCCCCACTCTACCGCAGGAGTCCTCCGCGCCTCCCCCCACCCGTTTGGCCACCCTCCCTGTCTCTTCCCCCCTCCTCCCACCCGCCCCCTGTCCGCCCCTAGTCGCACCCCTGACACTCTGCAAGCCTGAGGCTGGCACCCGACGATTCCCATTCCGCCGCTGCCCTGCGCGGCCAAGGCCCAAGAACGTGGCGCCCTCTTAACCCCGGCCCACAGGCCCTGGCCAACTTCCGAAGTCGTCGAGGGGCTCCGCTCTCCACCCGCCGTTCCAGCGGGGGCCCTGGTGCTGGCGTCGGCTCCCCAGGTGTTGCGGGACGAAGAGAGCCGGCACCAGCACCAAGACCCCGCTGGAACAGCTGGGGGTCCCTTCCCCGCGGGGGCAGAGCGGCCCAGCGGAGCCCGCAGAACGCGAGGTGGCTCGCAGTGCTCGCCAGATTCACAAGCCAAATGGGGCACGCAGGGCGAGAGACGCCCCGTGGGGGCCCACGGCGACCGCGGGGCCCATGGGGCTGCCATGATGGTCCGCGGGGCTGACGAGGCCCCAAAAACCCGACGCGGTCCTGACGACTCAAAGGGCCTATGGTAGGGGAGCAAGAAATGGCATGAACATAAAAACTCGGAGGTCCGCGCGGAGTTCTCGGATCCGCGCCGGACCCCCCTCCCTGGCGCGCGGAGCGCGCCAGGGGCGGCGCCGGAGGTGCCGCCCGGGGGCCCCAGCGCCGAGCCGAGAAGTCCGCGCGGACCTCCGAGTTTTTAGGTTTATGCCACGTTTTGCTCCCCTACCATAGGCCCTTTGCGTCGTCAGGACCGCGTCGGGACCGCGTCGGATTTTTATGTTTATGCCACGTTTTGCTCCCCTATAGGGGGACCGCGCGGCCCGCTGGGCTCGCGCGGCGCGTGGAGCCCCTGCGCGCTGCGGCGCACACGCGGCCAAGGCAACTTCGCCCGGGACCTGCGGGGCCTGGTGGCGCCGGCGGGGTGCGCGCGGCCCACGGGCCGCGCGCGGCCCGTGGAAGTCCTGGGAAGCGCACTGGAGGCTCTAGAGAAGGCCCGCGCTGCTCCCCTGGCCATCGCTCGGACGTCCCTTCCCTGTGTTTTTATTGGTTTCGTGCGTGTTTTTTTTCTCGCCAAGTGATCAAGGATGCTGCTCGATGGCCCTCGCCGAGGAAACATGCACACGTCCGAGCGACGCCAGGTCATTGGAGGATCTGGAGAAGGCCCGCGCTGCTCCCGCGCGCGCAGGGCTGACACTGCTCGACGCGGGACACTTTTTTGGTCTGCGGGTCGGGAGCGGGCCCCTTCCGGTCAAGAGCTAAATGGGACGCGGGTAGCCCTAATTGGGGAGTCAGGGCGCGGGGCTCAGAAACCAGGCGGTGCCGAAGATCTGGCACAGGACAAGGTGCGCCATATCGACGCGGGACACGTGAGCCCGAAGACACCGGCGACGGCATGCAGCAGACCCTCTGGATCTTTCTTTTCCGGAGGGGATCTTGGAGTCGGCGTCGGGTCCCGGTGCCCGAGGTCAGTCCACGAGAGACCTTCCGCAAGAGATTTAATTCTGAGACCCCAGGACCACCATCGATCTGGTGTGGGAAAGCCACACCCTCCCCTCGCAGAACCATTGAAACCCAAGAGACCCAGGGCACCCTGGAGGCGAGCAGGGTGTCTCTTGACATGTGTTTCCACTGTATAAGCAACAGCTGCACATAATTACATGAACCTTCAATTGAGCAGGGACCGACCGTCCCGGCATTGTTATAGTCATACCACAACATGTTCTCGAACCCACAAATGCTCTAAGAACTAAAACAATGTTCTTAGAACATGAACCCAATGTGATAAAACAACACAGACTCCGCCAGAAATAGTATAGGAATCATTTCATGGAAACCACATTGTTTGGTAGGGCTATAGGCGAGCCAGGACGCTTCGCCGCTGCTTGATTCAACGGTCCACGCAGATCTCTTGGATCTGCGCTTGACACTCCTCCCTGGCGCGCCGCCGCCAGCGCTGATGCAAGCGCTCCGCGCGGGGACCCGTCGGAAGTTGATGCTGACGTTAGGTCGGGCATGTCCCCCGGCAGGCGGGTGCTGGACGAAAACCAAAGAATAATCCAAACATATGCAATACTTGCCAAAAAACAAAAAATCGCCCCATAAGCATCTTCAAACTATTTTTGAGAACACCTCCTGTAGAGGGGCACGCCCGACTTGATGCTTACGTGTGCAGCCCTCTCGCCTCCGAGACGGCCCGCCGACCGCCGCCGCCGACCGCCGCAACCGACCAGAGCCGAACAGCGGACCACCACCGGTGGCGCGCCCGAGCGCCACCCCGATGCAAGATGACGCTCGGGCCCGGTCTTGTCCTCGTCCTCCTCGTGGTGTGTCCTCCTCCTCCTCCTCCTCCTCCTCCTCCTCCTCCTCCTCCTCCTCCTCCTCCTCCTCCTCCTCCTCTCCTCCTCCTCCTCCTCCTCCTCCTCCTCCTCCTCCTCCTCCTCCTCCTCCTCCTCCTCCTCCTCC